TTCAAGTGGTAGTCTTTAAGGGGTTGAATAATTGTGGCAATGAAGAAACCACATAAGAACCATTTACTACTGTATTACATAAACAATTGATGTCATTTTAGTTGCATTTGGGTAGTTACAACGTCCTTGTAGGATTTGATTCTGAATACAATTCCAAATGTACACTATAGTCCCTAAACCCCTTTACAGCATTGGGGGTTGAATAATTTTGGACACAACTGTAAACACACCCCTTGTATGTGTGTGTGGACGGTGAATGCCTTGATTTTTTGTGATTGGGCTGTTATGCGGGCTTACTCATGTGGGTTCAGACTAAGTTCCAAACACACCTAAGCTCATCCCTATGTAAGAGTTGCAAGAAGCTGTCAGATGTTCCAGGATCTACCAAAAAATGACCTATCAGTTTTGGTTGGACTGATCCTTTAATAAATAAATAAATAAATAAATAATAATAAATAATAAATAAATGGTTGTAAACTGGCCTATAATATGTGTTCTCTTTTCCTATACTTCAGTAACCAACATAAAGTTATATAATACTTTCAAATGTATGACAGTTGTAATCAGATCAATCTGGGGTAGTGTATGGCTATGAAGTTTTTTATTGCTATACCAGACATAGGTTAGAATTGAATGGAAATAGTTATGGTCATAAGGTGATTTACAAGGTATTTACATTGAATGCGATTCTTACTCATTTCTGTCCTGCAATACCTAAGTAAGATGAGAGCCAGTTATGAGTATTGAGTGAGTTATGTGTAAAGACTAGAATGGTTACCCACTTTCACATGTGTATTTGTGTAGGTAACAGGTCCAGGGGTTACTGTCTGTGATTTCAGCTGACCATGGAGTGATCCACCTTGCGGAAAACAGAATGAGACAATCACTGTGCTGTTCCACCTACATATCGCTGCTTGTTCTATGGGGTTGTGGTAAGTGTCATGCTTCTAATATCACTCATATGCAGGGGTGGACTGACCATTTGGAAACTCGGGCACTGCCCGAGGGCCTGGGGTCAGTAGGGGGGCTCCATGAGATGCCCCTGGTACCTTTTTTCATAGGCTTTTTTGAGTTTGGGCAAGGACACAGGGGCCCCATGATCTCCTATTGCCCGGGGGCCCCATGCGTTGTCAGTCCGCCCCTGCTCATATGTATTAATGCTTCCTAACGGTTGTATAGATCATATTCTGACCTTCAGAAGAAAATAAAAGAAGAATAGATTACTAAAGTCCAAACCCAACTGACTTGTGGGCAAATTGCATGCAAATTTATATTAGGGATATTACGACACAAGGTCCGTTATGAAGATTATTTCATGGACACTTTCTGTTGCATATACAGTATTTTTGCTGAGTATGTTTTTTATTCTGAAGTCCAGGTTGGTCCACGACTCTTCCCCAGGTGCCACTTGTTACCACTAATACATATGTCAAAAGATATGCTGGGTAGGTGCGGCAGTAGCAGCACACAGAGTCTCGGATTGCTGAACTTTTAAAACTGTACAACAGTCCGACCGGGAGAGTCACCCAACAAAAGTATGAGTGGAGATTTAACAGTGAGTAGCACTTGTCGAGGAAAACGTAATGCAGCCTGGCTCGTCCAAACCAATAGGGAGCTTGCCGAAATTGCAGACGTGGGCCCTGTGCTTTCTCTGCTCCTCTGGAATCTCTACCTGATACTAGTGCTGTCCATGACAGATGGGTACCCTGTCCCTACACTAGCCACTTGCAAAATGCTCACCAAAACCAGGGGCAGGGACTTAAAAAGACTTGTGTGACCCAAGATGGCCACCAGCATCACCAGTATAGGTGAGTATAGGCGAGTAAAGGTGTGCAAGCGTATAGACAAGCGTATATAGCTGTGTAAAATTCTTTTTCATTGCCAGTATTGTAATATACTCACTTATACTCAATTATACTCATATAAACATTATAGATAAGTAAACATGTGAGTAAATTACTGCACTCCAATGAAAAATGTTCTATTTTTGTATTACTGCTCTGTACTCAATGCTGTATTACTAATCTTTACTCAGCTGTGTGAAATGTCCCATAGAAAACCTTTTTTCTTAAACGTAGAATTTTCTGATGTACCTTGTTCTATTTCATAAATTCTTCTGAACCAAGGACTGCTATGTGTCTTTATCTATTTTTAATAAGTTCATTTGTCATAAGTTGTTCTGCCTTCTTTAACCATGTTATATTTTTTTTTCCCTCATTTTAGCTTTCAGTAATCTTGGCTATCTCTTGCTTAAACAAACCCACCACATAGCCTTTAGCAAATCTTCAATCCAAGTCGAATTTAATATCACAGAAAATTCCAGTATACCAACAAATGCTATGGTAACTTTGCTGGGTGTTAACAACCAGATAGTTACAATTAAAGGACTTCCTGCAAACACATCACAAGGTATTTTGGAATTTGAGTGCATCTATTTCACATCGGCTGGTCAATATCAGTTTCAGATGAGCCTTGAGAGAAATAAGGACAGTGCTGTTCACATTACCAGCGGCTTCTTGAATGTATCTTGGCCAGTGTTTCACATTGATCTGAACAGAACCTCAAAAGATATGCAGAGATCCTTCCAGGTTGGGGTCTTCACTAATGAGCAGCTTTGCTCAGGGTTTTTCTGGTCAGGAGCCCAAGATTTTGCTAGAAGTTGAGCACACTCAGAGTTTCCAAGGACTGGCAGAATCAAGCACTGATCAGTTCATGTTGTATAAAACGTACAAGGAGGTCCTTTTGTCCACATCACAGTGGGTAGAATTTGAATGTGCATCTGTTCACCCAGAAGCCTACATCACAGTGTCTCTGAAACCAATGGACTCTGAGTCAGTGATTGCCTACATTGGACCCATTGATCTTGTAAAGACCTTTAAATATAAGCTAATCACTGTGACAGAAAAAAAAATGTGATTCCTCAATGGCAGTCTATGTTATAGCGCCTCCATGTAATTACGTTGAAGGCAAAATGATTGTATACAAGGAGTCTCCTAGAAGCCCGGGAGAAGTTGTCACAACGTTAGCTGAAAATACTCTGCAAAAAGGGGAGCGGAACTCTCTGTTCAACTGTACATTGTTTGAGATTGGCAAAAATAAGTATTGCTTTGAGTTCTTGGAGTCTTCAAGCAGCAGTCCCAACTTCTCATTTCCAAGAGCCAAACAGTGTGTGGAGATTCGGAGAGAAATTGGTGCGTATGTGGACTGTTTAGATTTCTTCCAACCAACACTCTTGTTTTATTGTGTGAAGGCCATGTCATGTGAAGAGAATGATTATATACTAATATACTTTAATAAGAGTTAAGGGTCTATCTGTATATGGACATTTCTTCTCAGCAGCAGCCCAATCTATAAAGCATTGGCCAAAACAATGGACAGCATTATCTTCTCATAAAAAACATAAACCCAGATATTACAGCGCTGAGCGAACTATTGGCGCTTTATTAATACTGTATAATAATAATAATAATATTACAGCAAAACACTATGATCTAAAGTTGTCTTCAAACATATTATTCCCACATATTATACCTAAATAATTAGTAGGAATTAGGTCTGTCAGACTTGGGCTGGATAATGTTCATTAAGATCTTTAAGAACCTCTTAGGTCCCCTTTTAGTCATCTGCAGATCCTTTGAGCTACAAGATCATAAGCTAAACGATCACAAAATTACATTTTAATTGACTAAAACAGAACCCCTTTACCATGCCAACTCTGATAGTTTTATTATTTGTACCACAGTTTTATGGTTAAAATGGAAGTAAAGGCTATATAGAAGCATGCTTAAAGTGGTACTAAACCCAGGACCCTGCATTCCCTATATCTGGTCTCCCACAGTACAATTATTTTATGAAATATAAACTGCTAAATACCTTTTCTCATCAGCAGTTAGAGCAATCTTGTGACTTCAGCAGAGCACTGGTTAAAGCTGTCTGGACAGTGCTGATTGGCCCTGTGCTGATCCCCACACTCTCCCACGAAAAAAAAAAACCCTCTCTAGCAATACACACCAAACTGAGCATGTGCAAGTGACTATGGATTCAGTCTGTATAAGGTGGTCATTTCAACAAGAGAAGGGGCAGAAAAGAAAGGATCAAACAGCCTTTTTACACAATGCAGAGGATTAACCCCTTAGGTTCCACAGTGAGTATAACAAGCATGCTTTACTGCATATACACACTGATTTTACTGGTTGTGGATTTAGTAACACTTTAAAACTACTGCTTTTCCCTCCTCCTACCTAAGCTGTATAGTGCTGATAAAAACAAATGTGTGTGTAACTGTAAATACTTTATTTCAATCCAAAATAAACAAATGTGATGCTACAACCTAAATTGTTGAAGTGGCTACTGGATAAATAAATACCCATGCCTGGACCAGAGTAACACACGCCATCAGAAAATGCATAAGATAGCATATGCATAAAATGCATATATTCTTTGTTGCAGATCCATCATAACAAGGGGGAATCCAATATACAGCAAAGATTGATGCGTTTCAGACTATTACTGGGCCTTAGTCATAACAAATTGTGTGCACAAACAGCTGTCCGGATGCAGAACCAGTTTATTCCACTCTTTTCACCTAGCAAAGTCTTATATCAAATATGCGCATCGTCAGCAAATCAGTCTTCTACCTTTCAAAATAACTTCAGTTATGAAATGCAAATAAATTACATTTATTGCATCTAGAGAACTGTATGTAGGTCAGTTGATTTAAAAGAAAACATCATCTTTAATGAAATTGTCCTTTAATATATCCAACCTGTTCCAATACTTACATTTACCATTCCAACAATCTCTCCTCTGACATGGTCCTGGCTAGCTGCTCTTCATATTGTACATATGTTCCGTGGTCCCATATATTCCAATCGGAGAGCTTTACTCCGCTAAACCTGACCTGGGTCAAGTTAAAGGAAAGATTGGAGAAAAACGAAAGTATTGGACCAGGCTGGCTGTACTTAGGGGATTAATAGGTTTTATGAAACACTGCTTCACTAATGAAGTTGTTCTTTAAAGAAAATCTTTGCAACTTTTTTCTTTTAGAGACGTGGAGTCTGTGGCAGCCGTGGAGTTCCTGTAGCACCACCTGTGGGGATGGTCACAGAGAACGGTACAGAACCTGCTTTTCGTCACCATCTGTAAAGCCTTCTTGTAGTGGAACAGCAAAAGAAACATCTCTCTGTTCTCTAGAGGACTGTTCAAGTGAGTATCAATTTTTATGACAAGTAAGCCATGTTCACACCTGTGGTATTTTATGTGCACTTCATTGTATAGAAGCTGCAATAAATCTTTAATGTTCTGGAAATAGTGGCACCTGAGCCATTTTCCTGAAAGTGGAGAAGGCCACTTGTCCTGCACAGTACTGGAGGTTGGCCAACAGGTTTGCAGATAAATGAGTTTGGTTTGTGAGGATGTAGAATAATTCATATTCTGTGTCTGCAAACCCTGGGGACTTGTTTTAAAGAAAGGAATCATTTTTCTATTTATGAGCTCAAGGAGATCTTGCATGTTCATGAACAAATAAAAACTTTTCGTTGCTTAATATTAAACCTAATTCATCCAGGACAACACATGAGCACAAATAAGTGCCAACAAAACTTTGATGTTTCCTTCAGAAACTATAAAATATAAAATTTTCATACAAAGTGTCATTTGTTTATAAAGTTGAGGGATTCAATTTCCTATCCAAAAGTGAAATGTTCATCTGATCCAAAGGTAAAAATTTTAGCTGAAGGTGGAGCCTAGTGGGTTGCATCATACCCTGACTACACCATATATTTTTGTATGCTCCAACAGTGAGCCCTACTTGCCATGTTTCTGACTCTTTGGGGTTTATTTACTAAAGCTGGAGAGTCCAAAATCAGACTCCCTTCTGCATAGAAACCAATCAGCTTCTAACCTCAGCTTGTTCAATGAAGCTTTGGCAATGAAACCTGGAAGCTGATTGGTTTCTATGCAGAAGGGAGTCTGATTTTGGACGCTCCAGCTTTAGTAAATAAACCCCTTTTGTCCACCTAAAAGTATTGGCTGTTCTGTTTTTGCCCAACTGTTCCAGCACCTCTCCTGCTACAATCTCCATTAACATATAGCAATATTAATATCTAGCATGGATGGTAAGAATCCTTCATAATGGCATCACCAGGTGTAGAGAACCAGGAACTCAACACATAGCTCTCATCAACAGTCCCCAGAGACATAAACATTCGGTCAGCTTTTTCCAAAAGTTACAATTACAGTTCTATGTGTAAGGGCCCAGTAACAATTCTCAGTATGTGTTACTGACTCTTGATTCTCTCTGAAGCAAACTTTTTACCATTGAGGAACCCTGGAAATCAATTTTAGGTCTTGTAGAACCCCTGCTCAAACCAATTCACTGGGGTTCAGTAGGAAAAATGGCCCTTACATTGATGGTTATTAGGAAGAATGGCCCCTTACAGTAGTGGTCACAATACCACCCTTTCAGACTACAAAATAGATTTATGGTGTCATGCAGCTGCCTCTGCTAAGTGGCATTGGCTTTAGAAATATACAGACACCATTAAATAGGAAGTCAATCAGCAACAGCTCAAGGAACCCCTAGCAACCTCCGGAGGAACCCTGGTTGAAAAAGGCTGCTCAAAAATATAGATACAGTTTTTTCCAGAATAGAGAAACTGGGATAGAACCTTTTCAAAAGGCTGATTCACACCACAGCACACAGAGTATTCATATCTATGAACTATGGTGTATTATAGCACAGGTGCATATGTTTATTCTGTATATAATGTATGTATTGTTATGCCCTATATAGAATAAATGACAACACATCACTGCACTTATGTACACTTATGTGTTACCAGCACAGCTTCCAGAGATCCGTTGCTTGTACATGCTAATATGAAGATCATCACATTCAGCAAACATATTCAAAGCACTTAAATAAATAATATTCTTTCATTTTTTTTTATATTTCAATATTTGTATTGAAAAAAAACTGTAGAAAGAACATACAGAAAAATAGGAAACATAGCCCACCTACATGGTGAGTTGTGGTGAACAAACAGATTCATAGAGTATATAGGCACATAAGAATACATCAACCAATGATGTTGTAAACAAGAGAAAACAGCCCCAGTAGGGTAGCACATATTCCATTGGTCAGTAAACCTGGGCAGTTTTAGATAGTCACCTGACAAGCTAACGAGACCAAAAAAATTGAACAGAAAAGTCAAAGAAGAGAGTAAAAAATACAACAGACAAAAACAAAAGAGGAGCAATAAAGAAGGAGAAAGGAAAGAAAAGAGAGAAGAGAAGAAGAGAAGAGGGCCAGCCATAAGTCCATTAGATAATAGAGATATACCTAATCCATGGTTCCCATGTAACCTCAAATTTAGAAGTATTATTATTAACAATACTCGTAAGTTTATCATTTATCATAATCCAATTAAGTTTCTGTTTGACCGAGTCTAGCGGAATGGATGACTGTCTCCAGCATCTAGCTAATCTAGTAATTCATGCTGCCAACAGAAGATAAAGGATTAATTTAACTGATTTCTTGGGAATATCAGTTGTCAACAAATGAAATAAGGCTACTCCGGTAATTTACAAATATGAATTCCCATGACCGAATAAATGAAGTTAAATATTTGGATCCAAAATCTATGAACCTCCGGACATGTCTACCATCTGTGGAGCATAGTGCCCTCTTGTCCGCAGTGCTGAAAGCAATTAGGGGACACAGATGGGGACATTTTAGCAAGACGTGTAGGAACTAGGTACCAGTGAAGAAGTGTTTTATAATTGGATTCGATAAGAGTAGTATTAATTGAAATTTTAAGAAACTTTCCCACTGAATCATATAGGATAGCTTAGTAAGTGGATCGACAAGAGAAGGATAAATAATGGATAATCAACCTTTCATCATCCCAGTGGCCCCACAGGAGATCTCTAGAGGTGTGAGTGCACAGAGTTCTACAAGTAATTTGAGTTTACTGGTGATAAAAGATATAATTTGATGGCAGTGGAACATTTCACTGGAGGGCATCTGGCAATTTGTCCAAAAGTATTGGAGAGAATGAGGACGAAGTCCATCTAAATAGTCCCCGATATGCAAAAACCCTTATTGATCCACCACTGAAACACAGATGGTGATAGGCCAGGAATAAACTCAGGGCTACAAAAGACTGGAGCTAAAGGGGTATGGAGAGAATAGAGAGATTTGCGGGCCCGCCATATATACCAGAACGTTAAGGAATAGGATAACTTAGGACACAGGATAGGAGGATGCAACCGACTAGCAAGCCACATGAGGGAACGAATAGCATAGGGACGGCAAGATAAGGCCTCAATGCCAACCCACTGGGGAACATAAACCCTAGCAGTAGTACAAGAGAGTTGTGCTATCTCAGCCGCCTGAAAATAAATCAGAAGATTAGGAAGTCCCAAACCGCCATGCTTTTTTAGGGAAAATAAAGTTGACTTACTAACCCAAGGACATTTCCTTTCCATATAAATCTAGAGACTGCTGCTTGTAAAATTAAGAGTTCCCTTTTGGGTACCATGAACTGCAAAGTCCGAAAGTAATATAATAGTCTCGGCAAAAACAATATTTGTTTTAGATTTAAAATAGTTCAGCTTGGTGCAAATAATGTTATCAGTATGTTAATGTCCTAAATATTTTTTCTAACATAGTTTGTAACTATATTCAGTATGTACATGGGAGAAGGCACATTTGTTTATTATATGCACAGTCTCGGCTTCTCAAAGCTTAGGCGTACACTAGTAGGCCTAAAGCCGAACATACACTAGCAGATTTTCAACAAACATTCGGATGAACCTTCCTAATACAATCAATGACTTTTGAATGTTGTTATAAAGTATTTCAAAATATCATTTGCTTTTAAAATTTGATTTTAGAATGAATGGGCTTTCTTGAATGAAAACCATATACACTTGTTAGAAAATTGTTTCTACAAGAAACAATTGCATACTGACCGTGATACTTTTTTTTATTTGCACTAACATACAATTTTCAGGACACAATTTCGGGGTATGTCCCCTTATTCAAGGTCCAAGCAGTAGATGGAAGATTTCTACAAGAAAAATTCTCCATTCTGCTCCTTTGAATTTTCTCCTCATTGTGGTCAAAAACAATGGCAATTTGACCCCACTAACCATTAGAAAATTGAACAAATGTTCTTAAAATGAAATATTTCGACCACAATTCTACTGGTGTATGGCCATCTTTACTTTGCACAACACAAACCTACAGACCTACAGGTCAGCTGACCAATTGGAAACAGAGCACAAACTGTGTCCCTAATTTGTCACTGTTTCATGGGAATGCACCACTTAAAATCTTGATGTTGAATAACTATTTATTCAGTGCAACCTCATCCTTTATATTTTACACAAAAAAGGTAATATATTGTATTTACTGTATGTGCACTAAAATTAACTTTAGTGTATTTTTTTCTGAAAATACTGTTGCACTATGTAACATAAAAATTGCAAAAACGAAAGAATAGCTTTGGCTGGAAATGGGTTAAAGAGATACAGCACTGCAAAATGAAATTTTTTATTTTTAATTTTACTCTGACATAGCCTTTAATGATAAACATTGCAATAATAACTATAAAATGAACTCCTCAAAAACACTCTACATTTATGCAGTTCTCTTGAAGTCCTCTAAAGCTAAACTTTTAGTTTTGCATAGAGTTAAAGGTAGGTAACATCCTTGCCACTTTGTTTTCTTTTTGCTGTGTCCAGTAGGGGAAATTTCCCAGAGCTAGAACAGGAAATCAGAGGAAATCTCTCGAAAATGATCAGGCATCCCCAGTTGAAGATTTTTCTTCTTTTTTCCTCTTCCAGTGACCACTGTAAAACTGGATTTTTTCTCAATTTTGTGTACCACTGTCAATGGTTACAAGACAAATAGGGGTTGATTTACTAAAACTGGAGAGAGCAAAATCTGGTGCAGCTGTGCATGGTAGCCAATCAGCTTCTAACTTCAGCTTGTTCAATTAAGCTTTGACAATAAAACATGAAAGCTGCACTCTCCAGTTTTAGGAAATCAACCCCATAGGGTAAATTTACCCACTGGGGACCTGACAAGGATATTAGCTTTAACCTACTCTATGAAGGACTAATACACGTTTTGCTTTGGCTATTATACCTTAATTTAGAGATCTCCAAACTTTTTATTACGAGTGCCACATTTTGTATTTTACAAATACTCATGGGCCAAAAATTTTTTTTAATGAACTAATCAAATTTATAAGAAATAATGTTTTGCTTGGATATTTTTTTGCTTTTTTTTATCAGCATGATTTAGAAAAGAGAAAACATATCAGTAAACAAAGCAAAGAAATTCAAATCAACTTGAGTCCCCACTTACATCAGCATCCCCATTAGAGTGACCCCTTACATCAGAGTTTTCCTTTGCCTAATGATCCCCATCAGAGTCCCCCCTGACATCATGGTCCCCATCAGAGCCCCCCTTACATCACGGTCCACCTTAAATTTTTAACGCAGGAATGTGTGCGTTTGGATTGTACACTTACAGGTCACAGTTTGGAGACCTCTGCTTTACAGCACCCTTCAGTTCCATTCCAGGAATGAGGCAGAGCTGGCCACATCAAGCTTTTAGGAAACATAGAACCAAAAGCCAACACATATATAAAACATTGTTGTCTTATGATATATATATATATATATATATTATTTATAATGTGTGTGTTCAAGGCATTGTGGTTGTATTGTATGTAACCTTTACATAATTTGTACTCCATGTACAGGGTTACAGTTTTTTCTAACATTCTTTGCATAACACACGTCAGTATCCCTTTCCATCCCAGTGACTTGTCTTTTCTCATTTTCTCAACCACTAAATTTTTATAGTGCCTTTAGGTAAAAAGCTGACATATAGAATAGTTAAGGTAATCATTAGAAATGAGTGTTCCTTGTGCATTCATTTGGATCCACACCTGCAAAAGATATCATTACCGAGGCCTGGAAGCAGGGGGATGTAGTTACCACTCAGTGGGGTCTACATGTATACTGCAGTAAAAATTAGCAGCAACCATTCATACACTAGATATGTAACTGGTCAAATATCTTTAGTCAACCCAGGACAAAATGAAGACATTCTGCTTTATCAGTTTTTTTTTTTTTATTGTAAATAAGGCCCAGAATATTAAAACGGAATTAAACTCTGATTTTTTTTTTTTTTTTAAATGGTTGTAAACCTCAGGCATGAAATATGACCAAAGCATATCCCTCTATAGTCTGTGATAAGTAACATTTCTGTCTGCTGCCTTGTTTCTCCGCTATAAGCATGAGTCACTTCTGATGAATATTCCTGAAACTAACAAAAAAAAGGTGAAGGGCAGGGCACAGCCTGTGATTGACAGCCTTGGCTCTGTTCCTGTGTGATGTGTGAAGGGGGGTGTGTCCCTCCTCTCCAATCAGCTTTCAGAGCTCTCCTCACTGATGTAACTTCAGCCCTCCACTCTCCTGCTTTTCAGAGCTAAGAGATCCTGTGCAAATTCTGCAGTTTGAATGGATGTAGGGGAAAGAAGCTATAGATAAACAGGTACAACATTTGGATTTGTTTCATCTATGTGTATTACCTGATGCCAGTCACTTTAATAGGTATATGAGGGTTTACAACCACTTTAATAAATGGGCCCCAAGAAGAATTATGCCATAATGTGCTAGTATGCACATCACATTATGACAGCCTTACCTATCAAATAATGCCCTCCAGCTCTTCCCACTGGCCAAAGGTGCTGCCATTTTCTCACAGTTTTCCTTCTTGGTTCTGTCTGTTTGGCTGCTTGAATGGCTGGGCCCAGAAGATATCACTTTCATGCACAGAGGAATCACATAATCACAGCACAGAACAGTGCTATAAATGTAAGCTGAGCTGCAAATGCATGGCTCACTGTGCATGACAGCTGATTATGACAGAGGAGACCAATTGGGTTTTTTCTGTCATAAAAATCTCTTTTTTTAAATTGAGAATTTAATTCCGCTTTAAGGTGGTTCTAAAGGAAAGACATTTTTTATCTTAATGCATTCCCTGCAATAATGTTAAAAATGTCCCAGTAGTTGTGTTGCTCCCTCAGCTCCTTATATACTTACCTGAGAACCTCTCTCGATCCAGCACTGGTTTCTATTCCTCTTCTCACAGGACACAGAGGCAGCAGCGGGAACCATTGGCTCCTGTTGCTGTCAATCAAATCCTGTGAGCAGTGAGTGGGGGCAGGGCTGAGCCACGTTGTGTATGACTATGGACAAGTGAGTTGCTGTGGGGGGGCACAGAGAATAGGAGGAGCCGTGAGCATCCAAGGGGGACTCCAGAAGAGGAGGTTCAGGGCCGCTCTATGCAATACCAATGTACAGACAGGTAAGTATAACATGTTTATTATTTTAATTTAAAAAATTATCCTTTACAGTTGTTTTAAGAGTATATATTTGAAAACCTAATGTTGGATAAGAACAAAGAGCAGATTGAAACAATACATAAACATACCTTCCAACTTTCTGAGATGGGAAAGAGGAACACCTATTAGAAAAAAAGTATGTAGACGAAGAACACATCACTGCCAAACCCCAGTTATATGGAGAATTAATAATTAATACACAAAAATGATTGGTTAAAACCACTTGCCCTCCAGAAGATTTACCCCCCCTTCATGACAAGGTCATTTTTTGTGTGTACACTTGCAACTCTACTACTTGTCATATGCTGGGTTCAGCTATTCCCATTTTTATTTTGCCTTGTTGGATTTGGTGCAGATACACACTGCAGGTCTCCAGTTGCCATTGAGCTAGTCTGGGCTTCTGGACTGTTCCTACACCTTTAAGGAGGAAGGGGCTCCCTCCAAGCCTTACTTGCTTTCAATTTATTCATTGCTCTGCATGTTCCAAGTTTGGAGTTCTGTTAGACTAGACTTAAAGACCTTGGCATGGCAGTATGGCTTCACATAAAGTATGTAACAAAAATGTTTTTTAAACACAAATTGTTAAAACAGTTGTTTTGTGTTGACTGGTTGTGTGACGAGGTACTCATTTCTGTCTGTGACCCATTTGGGGAGATTATCCCTTACTTCCCTGTGATACTTGTTCCAGGGGGGTACTGGGGATACAGTAGTCACCTGGAAAGAAAAGCCCAAGTAGTAATGAAAATCTGTCAGTAGTTCTAATCCTTCCCCACTCTATCCAAAACATGGGAAAAAATCCTTTGGACTTCACCGTTGACTCTCCTACTGTTTATCCATGAAGCAAACCTGAAACTTTTTGCTCTGTCATGTATATGAATATTGGTTCTTAGATTTTATTACTTCCAATTGAAATATAAAATTGGCGTGCCAAGTCACTTTTTATATCATATGTGTTGTCTTTTATAGCTGTGAAGCCCTCAAGCAAATCTACCACAAATGATAAGGATGTTCCTATTAAGAGTAACACAGTGACTATCACTGGAATTTCTCTCTGTCTCTTCATCATTTTTGTTACGGTAGTGATTACTGTATGGAGAAAATTTGGCAAAGGATGTAAGTGCCGTCCAACAACCAGGCATAGCTCTGTTCATTCAGTGAATTGTTGGAAAAACTCAGATGAGGAGAATATCTACCAAATGAGAGAAAGCTTCTCTGATGCAGGGGAAGGTCAGATGGAAGGTATGGAAGATGGAGTCCACATACCTTTAAATTACAGACAAAACAACTGTGATACCCAAGAGGTGGCAGAAACTGAAAATGACTGTGCCCAGGCAAACAGCCAGAAGATAATTCCACCCATTTTTAGTTACCGTCTTGCTCAACAGCAGCTAAAAGAGATGAAACAAAGGGGTCTGACAGAAACCACAAAAGTATATCATGTCTCTCAGAGCCCAATGGCAGATACTGCTCTAGACATCTCTATGGCTCCACCACTGGTCAATGACAACTCAGAGGAGATGGCAACAAATAAGTTCAGGATACAGTCTCCATTTTTAGAGACAAAAAATAGCCATAGCAGAAATGCTGGTGAAAGGACTTACCCAAAGTTTCCACAGACACCTGGATACAGCCCAAATCAAACACTGCCTAAAGCATCCCACCTTAAGAACACAGATTCTAAAGTAAAGTATGACAGAGGCTATCAAAAAAATAATTTTCGAAGAACATTAAGTTTTCATGAAACTAAACACATTAAACCCTACAGGGAAAGAAGTCTAACATCCCTTTCACCAAGACAGCCAATGATTTACAACTCAAGAACCCGTATGTGGGAGAATTCTGCAGTAGATAGGTCAAATAAAAAACCAACGGGGCTGGAAAGAAGTCCAGAACACCTCACACGGGGTGTCTCTCTTCCTCCAGAGGCAACTGGACACGTGCCCAGAAGTCAATATGCTCGAGCAGGGGAGAAACCTGACCTAATCTGTAGCAGGCATACTACTGGCAGGCAGTCTAAAATGGAGAGACCAGATCAGCACCGACTACGGAAAGGACCTTCACCAGCTGAGAAGTCTTGGAACAGGACCAAAAATGTCTCACCTTCTTCTAAAGATATCTACCACAGGAAGAGCCCGCAGAGTCCTGTTCATTTCCGAAGGGAAAAGTGCCAAAGCTTTCCTTGGGGAACTGATTATTCTTTCTATGACAACTCCACATTTGGGCTCACAGAGGCTGAACAGCAAATGCTTGACTTACCTGGGTATTTTGCTTCAAATGAAGAAGATGAGACAAGTACATTAAGTATTGAAAGACTGGTGATTTGACCAGATAGGTTTTTTATTTTTGTATACTTTGCACAATGTTTAGACTTCTTATGAATGTGGACTATTGACTGTTGAGAATTCCTAGAACATCGGTTGAAAAAGGAAAGTACTGTAGCTGTGTTTCTGGTATTTGAAGTAGAAACATGTTCAGTAGCGATTAAATAAGTATTCTGTACCTAAACCCCATCTCTTCTTCTCAGTATTATAAATACACACAGATGCCTGACACAGTTTGGACATGATTCCTTTCAGTGTCTTTATTAAAACTAACTGACTAGATGGGGGTAAGGTATTATTATTGAGTAAGTGCCAAGCGTATGCTTCTCAGCAGTTATAACACAGTATGGTAGAGTGAATGGGTCTTTACACCATGATCTTATGTATGTTTTTGAAATTTAGAAAGAAAAATCAGTTAACCCTCCAGAGGCCATGGATCAAATAAGAGTTGCAACCATTGCTGTTCTCCTACCATACCCCTGAAAATAACACTGACCAGAGCTGGATTCAATTTTTAATAATTCCAATAACCATGGAGGCATTTGTCACATTTTCAAGTGTAAATTGATAATTTTTCAGACTTTATGCCCTGTTATAAGTTGGCAGAGAGGTCTGAAACAAAACAATATTTTTTTATTTTCTACTGTAAAAGCATATCTAAAAAAAAATGTTAAAAATCAAATTCTTCATAAATTTAGGCCAAAATGTATTCTTATACATATTTTTAGTAAAAAATCCCAATAAGTGTATATTAATTAGTTTGCTCAAAAGTTATAGCATCAACAAATTATGGGACATATACTGGAATTTAAACATTTTTTTGTTTTTATACTAGTAATGGTGACAATCAGCAACTTATAGCAGGACTGTGATATTGTGGCAGACATTTTTACACTAACTGACACTAATTGACACTTTGTGGGAACCAGTGACACTAATACAGTGATTCATGCTAAAAATATGCATTGATCACTGTACTAATCACACAGATTGGGAAGGGGTTAAAATCTAGGGTGATCAAAGGGTTAACTGTGTACCTAGCTATGTGCTTAGTATACACTAGGTGTCGCTGTTACTAAGGGAAGTGAAGGATCTTGTTCCCAGCTTTCTAGGAACAGAAGATCTTTCACTTCCCTCCCTGTCAGAACAGAGCTCTGTCTTGTTTACATAGGCAGAGCTCTGTTCTTTGTCCTGCCTGGTGATCGGTGAGTGCTGGCGAATGTCCGTTCACTGGGACTCACAGATCTGCTTCTGAGTGAGTGTTCACAGCAGAAGCAGGTCAGCGGCGGCGTCCAATTGCAGAAATGCAAAATCATCATACACATATATATATATATATATATATATATATATATATATATATATATATATACACAGGAGGACCACCCTGTAGCAGTAAAAATGCTATATGGTGGTCTTCAAGTGGTCAAACTTAAGGCATTTTCAGCTATATTTTTTCCTTTTTAGGCATAGCCTTCTTTCTCAAATGTCTGTGCATGTGTTGACATTTGAGAAAGGAGGTTGTGCCTCCGAAACATGTCATGTGACCTAGGCAATCTGTATGTCGGTCCTCCAACCTACAGCTTAGACTAGGGCCAGTCCTCCTCCTTCGCTCCTGGCAGCTTTCCAGCAGAGCCGCTCTAAGCAACTGACAGTTTGTTTCCCTTATACTCTCCTCTGACTATCCTGTCGGGACTACTATGCTGAAACATCACACAGGAGAATCTGCAGTTGCCAGATGAATCAATTTTTGTGAACATTATTGTAGACACATCACAGCTCCCTGTTGTCATTTATGGATGCTGTTTTACAACGGGATTGTGTGAGTGCAATATTTAAATGTTTATGGATATCTATTAAAAGTTTTATTGTGCTAGGTTGCGCTTCCATTTTTTTTTGTGTTTTCTGTACAGATGCTCACTTTGTGCAGGCATTTTTTCAAAGGAATAGCTACACTTATCTCAGCTTTGGTTGCTCTTTGTTGCTGGTTCATGTAATTAATCAAGCTGGATACACCTGTGGTGCAAGAAGGATTTTTTTTTGGTTCTTTGTCTTTGATAATGACTGTAAAGAAGTGTTTTTTTTTTTGCTAAATATCTGCACACACTCCTTTTTGGACACAGCAGGCCTAATATATAAAATGTCAGTAAATGAAAATGTCCTGTATGGTGTCATTTTTCTGTTCTATGATAAAAACAGACAAACATAGTTAACAATGGCATTTTAATGCAGCCTTTCCGAACCTTTTACCCTAGAGGAAACCTTAAAATAATTTTCAAGTCTCTAATACCCCTGAAAAAAGCAATTTATTGGGGGTCAGTGGGAAAAATACTTATATTATTATTGTACAGGATTTATATAGCGCCGACAGTTTGCTCAGCGCTTTACATTATAGTGGGAGACAGAACATTCACAATACAATTCAATACAAGAGGGATTCAAGGGCGCTGCTCCTGAGATCTTACAATCTAGGAGGTAGGGGATAGTGGTACAAAAGGTAATAACTGTGGGGGATGGAGTGGTTGGAAGAGTAGAGGATTCCAATGTTAGCTGAGGACGGGGTAGGCTTCCTTGAAGACATAGGTTTTCAGAGTGCGCCTGAAAGTGAGCAGAGTAGCCGATCATCTGATAGATTGGGGTAGGAAGTTCCAGAGGATGGGGGAAGCCCTGGAGAAGTCCAGGAGATGAGCATGGGAGGAAGAGACAAGGGAGCTAGAGAGTAGGAGGTCTTGTGAGGAGCAGAGAGTACAGTTTGGGTGATATTTGGAGACAAGATCGGTGATGTAATTTGGGGCAGTGTTATGAACGGCTTTAAAAGTCAGTGTTAGTGTTTTGAATTTTATCTGTTGGGCAATGGGAAGCCAGTGGAGGGATTGGCAGAGAGGGGTAGCAGATACAGAACGGTTAGTAAGGTGGATGAGTCTGGCAGCAGCATTCATGATAGACTGAAGTGGGGATAGCCTGCGATGAGGTAAGCCAATGAGGAGGAAGTTACAGTAGTCGAGGCGTGATATAATAAGGGAGTGGATGAGTTGCTTAGTGGTTTCTGAGGTTAGGAACGGTCGCATCTTGGAGATGTTGCGGAGGTGAAGTCTACATGAGTTTGTCAGCGAGTGGACCTGTGGCTGAAAGGACAGATTGGAGTCTAGGATGACACCTAGTAACCTGGCTTGAGGGGTGGGACTGATGATAGTGTTCTTGATTTTGATGGAGAAGTCGGGGAGGGGGGGGGGGGGGGGGCGCGGGGGCTGGGGGGAATACTAGGAGCTCAGTTGTGGAAAGATTGAGTTTGAGGAAGTGGAGTGACATCCAATCCGATATGTCACTGAAGGGGTGAGGTGAGGGGTAGAGAGATAGAGAGATAGATTTGTGTGACGTCAGCATAGAGATGGTAATTGAAGCCGTGGGAATTTATCAATTGGCCAAGGGAGGAGGTGTAGATGGAGAAGAGAAGGGGTCTGAGGACAGAACCTTGAGGGACCCCAACAGACAGAGGGAGTGAAGAGGGGGTGGCAGCGTTATAGGTAACACTGAAGGAGCGCTATGATAGATAGAAGGAGAGCCAGGAGAGAGCGGAATCTCTGAGGCCAAGAGAGTGTAGTTTTTTGAGGAGGAGGAGGGGGGGTGGTTAACCGTTTCAAAAGCCGCAGAGAGGTCGAGGAGTAGGAGTACTGTATAGTGGCCATTAGTTTTTGCGGTTAGTAGGTCGTTGGTGAGTTTGAGTAGGGCAGTTTCAGTGGAATGTAGGGGGCAGAAGCCAGACTGTAGAGGACCAAGGAGGTTGTTGTCGGTGAGGTGGGAGCTCAGGCGATTATAGACTAAGCGCTTTAGGAGTTTAGAGGTAAATGGCAGCAGGGAGATGGGAGTTGTTCAGGTTGGTGGGGTCTAGGGAGGGTTTTTTTAAGTATGGGAGTGATGTGCGCGTGCTTTAGAGGGGAGGGGAAGGTGCCAGTAGAGAGGGAAAGATTGAAGATGTGAGTGAGGGAGCATAGGATGGAAGAGGAGGGTGACCGTAGAAGTTGTGAGGGGACAGGGTCCAGGGGGCAGGTGGTGAGGCGGGCTTCTGAGAACACCTTAGTGACCTCTTCAGTAGCGAGGTCGAAGGAGCGAAGTGTTGAGGGGGTTTTATCGTGAGGAATGCTAAGTGGGGTGGAAGTCTGAGCAGTGGCGATGTCCCTACGAATCAATCTTGTTTTTGAAGTGGTTAGCAATCTCGTGGGCAGTGAGTGAGGTACTGGGTGGAGGTGGGGGCGGAGAAAGTAGAGAGTTAAAAGTAGAGAAGAGCCGACGAGGACTGGAGGAGAAGGTATTAATGAGGGTAACAAAGTAGGCTTGTTTGGCAGCGTGAAGGGAGGAAGTGTATGTTAGGAAGGCAGATTTATATCGGGTGAACGCTTGTATTGAGGAATGTCCCTCCCTACAGTGGTGGTCAGAATGCCACCATTACAGATAGCTAAAAAAAATCATTGGTGTCTTACCGCTGGAGATGCCACATGGTACTGTCCCTGGAACTATGTTGGCACCACAAAATTGTCAATCTACGATTCAATGAACCTTTGGAGGAACCCTGGTTGAGGATGGCTGCTTTAATGTGTCCATCCCTCCAAGTTGTACACATAGTTACATAGTTAGTCTGGCTGAAAAAAGACAAAAATCCATTCAGTTGAACCATTAAAAAAAAAAAAAAGTTATAATCCTATACCCACAGTTGATTCAGAGGAAGGCAAAAAAACAAATCCAGCAAAGCATGATCCAATTTGCTCCTGCAGGGAAAAAAATTCCTTCCTGACCCCCCGAGAGGCAATCGGATATTCCCTGGATCAACTTTACCTATAAATGTTAGTATCCAGTTATATTCTGTGTATCTAAGTAACAATCCAGGCTCTTTTTTAAAGCAATCCACTGAGCTGGCCAATACCAACTCTTGAGGGAGTCTATTCCACATTTTCACAGCTCTTACTGTGAAGAAACCTTTCCGTGTTTGGAGATTAAATTTCTTTTCC